AGTGTTCAAAATCATGAGAGCTTTAAGATGATATCAAGAAAAAGGGGCTGGCTTCTCACATTAGGGGCCAAGAAGGGCCGAAAATCCTTAATCTATAACCCTTTAATAATCAATATTTTGTTAAACATTATTAAAGCAAAACTGTTCGTCTTAACAATTTATTTATATCATTATATTTGAACGAAAATCTCAGTCAAATTCTTATCTCATCTTATCAAAAATCGGACGGAAGACCCACTCGTTGCTCGCAACGAGATCTCATCTAGTTTTTCTTCTTTTTGTAATGGACTCACATTAGATATCATTGAAAGAATAATTAAACCATAATCCCGATAGCTGATCGCAACAATTTTCCCATTATATTATAATAATTTTTTTTCGCACGATTGATATGTTTTAGAGGACTGACCTATTGCTATGTTCTGCTTAACAACATGTCACACAATCATATACTAGTACATACAAAATTCAAAGGAATATATATAGGGGGTGTCTTCTATCTATTCTCACTTTTTAAAAATCTCAATTCCACCGATTCCCACTTGCAAATAACAATAGATGTTTAGATACTAATTAATTTGTTTTCATAGTAATTAGACTAATTACATCCCATCTTACATTTACCCGTATTTTGTAAATTTTAAGACAGAAAATAAATAGATTAATGAAAAAATGATTTATTTCAATTTAATATATATTAGAAAATAAAAAAAGTGATTAATAAATACTTTAATATCTTGATTTTTTTAACATACAATAAATAGATTCATGAAAAAAAATGCATTTAATCCAATTTTTCTTTCAAATATCAGTAAAAGTCTGATTTACATAAATTTTAAAAAGCCAATTTACCTGTCCTCTATTCCAACAGGTGTTCAATAATTACTGTTTATACGGTAATTATATGTTTATACTGTAGTAAATTATTTGTTTACACAAAAATTCCACCTATACCCACATAAAATGTTACCTTTTCCTACCTGATTTTCAAAAAGTGGGAATAGGTAGAATAAACCGATATAACTGATACGCGTTTGGGTACTTTTGCAGTGCGCCCGGGGCTATAGCTCTTAAAAATGACTTAATTGTTGCAGTCATACATATTTTTGCAGGAAAAAAATTGCTTTTCTGTTTACACCGTGGTAATATATTTATCCTAAATAGAAAACAATATAGTTATTATTTATTCATGCAATACTAGTAACTTCACATAAATACATACATGTAGGCGTCGGAAGCAAATTGAGGGGGGGGGGCGGGGGGCTAAACCAACCAAAAAAAAAAGTTTAAGGGCTAAGCCCCAATTTTCAATGTCTATATTATGCCTATTTTTCCCCACGTTCCGACGCCTATGAAATATATAAGTCAATCATATTCTTTCCGCTGGGAGGGAAGGGGTATATAAAAATGTCAAAGCTCATTTTGATTTAAAGCGTGCGATTTTAGAGGGGTGCGTGACTGCTATATCGTGTGAAACCTTAAACTCTCCTTTGTTCAACTGATATGCAGATCTGCAAAAAGCATACACGCTTATTTTTACTACTAAAGGGTGTAACTCTGCGTCATGATATCACAATATTAAAAAAAATGCTGAAAGGAAAGCATTTTTAGTTTATTTATATTACACATTTCATTTTCTTAAAGTGTTCTGCATTTAAAGTTGCATAATAATGATATCTACACAATAATTATATCACAGAATACATTTGAATTTACCCGTTGATATATCGAACAATACTTCCACAGTATAATTATTACCCCCATTTTAATGCGAATCCACTAGTTAAAAGTTAGTTTCACACTTTTCTTTAACACAATCATAATTCATACACTGATGTCAGAGAGCTTTGTAATATTTTGATGTTTTCTTATCTCGCTGATTTTCGTCGGCCGAGCGACTCGGGAATTGATCTCGACTAATCCATCTTTTTCCACTTTTTGCAGTCCCAAATATTTTGGATAATTGCTGCGTTTTTCGTTTAAAACCGCCTGGTCACTCGAGTTGCTAAGACCTCGACTCGCTACAGTCGGGGTTGTGACTCGGGTTACCAAATTGTCGATTTCGTGTCGTGAAAGAATTCGAAAAGCCGGTGCCCGAGGAATCAGACAGCCATAAGATTTGTCGTATTCTGAACACCTCAGCACACTGGTCTTCAAATCATGACTGTCTTCTTTCTGTCGGAGTTGGTCCTGTGTAGGATATGGTGAGGAGTACCTTAAACTCACCGTCTGGGGAAATCCGCTATAGATGTGTTTTATGTCCTGTGAAAGAATGCGAGTGAACGGCGTTTTGAATTCTCCCATTTTTAGTCCAAAATGTTACACGAAATTCACAGACAAAGAATTTTGTAATAAAGTCTCCAAGAGACGGTGTCTATACTAAGTCTGGAGTGTTGTTCTATCCAACTGTTAATTAAACTCTGAATTATTCACGGAATATGAATCCGTTAATCCCTTAACGAGTAAAATAAGGCGATTAATTTTCCCTGTTGCACTTTACAATCTAGTCAGAGACTGTATAAATAACGAAAATGCAATTAAGCGTATAGTTCGCTTAGATTATAAAACTAACATCTACTAATATTTTCACCCTTTTCTGTGTCATAACAATACAAAAATCTTCAGGGAGTTCATAATCAAAGGTGGGTGATTGTTGACGACACATAATATTCAGCTTGAGTGCTTAGTGAGATTTAGATTTAACTTTACAATAAAATCTTTAAAATGATATTGTTCACGTGCCAAAGACCTGAAAGGGTAGAAGAAAAAACGTTGGTCCCTGTTTAAACTCTCATTTTTTTTCACTCCATAACGTTTCGAATCTGCACCTTGATATACAGATTAAAAGAAAATTAATCCTAGTATATTAGACACGTGAAGAAAAGCGGTCATATTAATTTGATGGTTGTTCAGATCCAACAAAAAAAGTTGTGTAAATGATATCTCGAATGAAATTGGAATTTGGGAACCCTGAAATATTTGAGTAAAATTGGGTAATCATACGAGACATTGAGCACAAGCTATTAGAAGCTATTCATACGTAATATGAAAAGATTTGTCCTCGTCATAACAGACGCTATAGGTACATTAACTTCATTCTGGTATATACTCAGCGTTATCTTAATTTAGTCCAAATCTATCTTTTCTGTAGGAATATCCTCAATAGATGTATTTTGTTGAGATTAAAATTTAAATCAACCTGGTTACAATATAATGAAGATGAACAAACTCTTTAGGTGATATCTGCTAAATTTTGTTATTATTATACAAAAGGCAGAATGAACAAGGGGATTTTTTAAAAAATGCATGCCTTCAAAAAACATATATTCCAGCAGATTAGTTTGAAGACTGCATGCTAACAATTTCAAACACATTTATCAGTATTTCTCGTTGACAGGATGTTGGTCATTAAGTTGAAGAAGTCGGACCCCCCCCCCCCCCCCAAAAAAAAAATCAAGTATCCGATCAGGAAACCACCCATGTTTGGATCTAGACGAAGGGCGTCTAAAAACTCCTCCTTAAGATTTTCATAGTTATTAAATCTAAATTTATAAAGTACCCTAAAAAAGTACCTTGGACCCCCCCCCCCCCCGCCAATTTCCACGGAACACGCACTCCTCGTACGTTGGTAAGGAGAGTTACAAAGAGGAAATAAAAAAAATTAAGTATCCGTTAGGGCAATCTCTCATATAGAGGAAGGGTGTCCAAAACCCCCTCCCTGAGTTTTTCTGAGCTATTCATTTAAATTTATAAAGTATGGTAACTTAAATCATTATAAGAAAGAAAGCGGCTTGTCCCCCTCCCCAGAGATAAAGTTTTTTTTTTTGCAGCTTTTTGTTTTCGGAGAAGGTGTGGATCCCTCCAGGGAATAATTCCTAGATAGGCGAATGCCACCACAGTGACCACACACGCACATATCATTTTTGTCAAATTGTAATAGAAGACATCTCTGTGCAATTTTTTTAACCTGGAGGGGGGAGGAGGAGACTGTATCCACGTTTTCAATGAAAAAAATTTGAGTGCTGGGTTTATGTTTTGATTATCATTAATATTTTAAATCCTATTCTATATTGTACATAGTATAAGGTACGTATTCCTTTGATTTTTTTTAAACCTGTAGCGTGAGAAAAACCTGTAAATTGTTTTAGTGTTATAAATTTGTATAATTATATGGTGGGGATACTCTTAAATCTTTGAATATAGATACTTTAAAATTGTTTTCCTCCATGTGACCTTGGCTGACAAACCGAGTAACTTCAAAGAGCGGCAACTCTGAAACATTAGTCTATTTTGTTCAGAAACACAAGAAGGGTTGAATGCCCATTGCTGCAAGATATTTCAAAAGCAAAATGTGTGTAGTATAAGTTTGGATATATTTAAGTTGTTATTTTCCTGGTCCGTTCCGTCCGTTTGTCACACTTTCTTCTTCCTCAAACTACTCTTACACTTTAGTAACTAAGCAGTAGCCAACTCAGCAGTAGCCAACTCATCTTTTGTAATATGATTGGTGGTGCCTTGAATATGTGCGCAAAAGGATTTTGAAATTTTCATTTTTACCCTAGGGGCCAAATGGAGGTAAAAAAAAAATGTGTCTTCTACAAAAACCTGAATTTGGAATTTCGGTTTTCATCCTGGGGGACGATTGAGGGTCGAAAACATACTTTTTTGTGAATATAATTATTGTGGCCTCTTCCTTTAATACCCAAACATAAACGCAAGTACATTTAGAGGCAAACACTTAAATGCGGGTATTTCTGTCTTATGACATCATCTACTTATTTTCATTTTTTGGTTTGGTTGTTTGTAGAAACTATTCGCGATGGATATTCTAATCCAAACTGTTTTATTCATATACATGTACAGTACATGCATACAATATCAAGCATACATATACTACATGTATAGATCTAGCAGTAATGAATAAACAACCTCAGTTTTATACAATACTATAGCTCAATCGTCGTTCACACATACTAAAATTGTTCAATTAATTTGTCATTTTCAAAAAATAGGCACACTTTGTCCTTCATGACCCCATATCATGACCTTGATCGGATTCCAGTTGACATTGTCCTTGACCTATTTCAAATACTGGAGAATGGTGTCAATAGCATTGAACCCCTGCGTCTTCATAGTGACCACAGTTGTGCACGCCCCATCCAGCTGATCCACATGCAAATAAGGATTGCTCATTCCCACGACACCTAAGGTTGCTCAGCCATATTGGGCCACTACCTGGTCCAAACGACTGTCGGTATACACGAATAGAACCGCCAGAACTAGAAAATAAACCAATTCATCATTAATGGTAGCTGCAGATCTGTAGTTCGCTGGTCTGAAAAAAAAAATTGGGATGGAGAGCAACGGTGCCACCCATAGGAAAAACTGTGTATTTATTGCGCACAAAAAGCTGCACTCGCTTCTGGATTCATTTCTCCAAATTCTTACCTCAATTGCAAAAAGCTAGATTTCAAAGAATTCCTTACACCTCTACTATCAATTATACGTACTCTCGTAGTTGATATCTGCACGAAGCACAATGGACCGAATTATCTTGCAATCAAAAATTCCAGTATAAATAGGCGAAATTTTCGATGGCCTCAATTTCAGGCCCAGGAGGTTTATTAACAACGGCAGTCCCGTAGGAAGCAATTTCACTTTCAGGGGGACAACCGTACATTTTCAGTTGGGGGGCACTATCAACTATCAAAATTCCTTGACAAGCAAAAAAAAAGGTCATCAGACGTCATTAATGAGGGGACAATAAATATATATACTTTTTTCAATGGGTGGCACTGTAGCTCTCCGGTCTCTCAATATATTTTTTTTTCGAAGAGCTATACAGTTTATGGACAATAAAACGTTTTTCATGCTCATAAAAGAGCTCTTAAAAAAACAAACATTTTTAATTAAAAAATGTTTACAAGTAAACTATAGGAAATAGGAAAGCAATTTCATTGGAGGGGTGGGGGGGGGGGGGGCGGGTACAAATGATTTGGAATTCTTTGACAAAAGAGAAAAAAATAATATCATCAAACATTATTATTGAACGGGCGTAACAGTAGGATTAGTGTTTTACTGTATAGTATTATATTGGCAAAATGTTTGGAGGGGGACACTGCCCCTTCGTGTTCCCCACCCACCCCGCCAACCGACCTAAGATGTGATAATATACCAATTTTTAAAATCATTTTTTTTCATAAAAATTAATAAGAGGATTTTTCCTTTTATTTTCAGAGTGTATAATACTTACAATCCCTGCATCCTACAGATGACGGTTGCTTCGAATTTATCAAAGTTATCAGCACACACAGTCCCCCACTGTCCATTGTAGTACACTTCCACTCGGCCGCCTTTGTCGGATGTCCCTCCAGCCAGACGAAGTTCTGAAACGTTATCAATTGTTATTTTCATGTATATTTTGATTATATTGTTCACGATGCACAATTTATTAAATCTACCCGATAAGAAAGATTTGTCGTATAAAGTGTACATTGTTGGACAGACATCTTGATGAGAGTCTTGAATTTCTAGGCCAGGTTGAGTCAAAAGCTTACACATTTTCTAAGATATACTATTACTTTTTTTTCAATCACTTGTTTCATTTTTTCTAATGAGGCTTGAGTAAGAGTTTTCTGTTTCAAAACGCTAAAGAAAAATCCTTGTGACCACTGCTGTTGAATTCTATTGCAGAAGTTCCTGCTGTCTTGGAGTTCTTAAGAGATAATGATAAGAAACAAGCTTTATCTACTTGAAGATACAACAGTAGGGAGTATTTCCATACGATGACCACGCCAAAATTATTATAGTAAATTGGCCTGATGATAACTGCACAGATTCACAGCCCAATCAAACTCAATTCATGGAATTTCAGAAGTCAATCACATTGAATTCTTGGCATTGAAGAGAGATACAGTGTTTGAAAAGCAATAAATCATCGTGTTAATCACCTTGAAACTTTTGCGACCCTTCGATCACAGATTCTGTTGTTTATCAATGCTCATTTTTCCCCTGTCTTACTCAGACATATTTATATACATCAGCTATAATTGATTTTGCCTAAATAATCTCTTCTTTCATGTTTTTTTTTACCTCCGGTTCATGGCCAACTCGGTTTGTCGTCGAATTTTTGTTTTCACTTAAACTCTACAAAGAGTTCATTTTCTTCAGAACAGATAAATAAATAAATCTTATTGCGAAGTCTATCTGCTTTTAGCAATATGTGTTGTATTTAAAGTCTTTAAACGTTTCACGGTGAGTAAGTTTTTCTGTGACACCCAGATTTTTTTTTTAATTGTATATGATGCAGATATTATATTCATTTTACATCGTGTTATGCCTGAATGCAAAGGGAAGGGACACAAAGTTTAGACTCGAGTCGCACAAAATAATAATAATCACCTTTCAACGTGCTTTATGTTTTGCCAAAAATATAAAATTATATCATCCACACAAATGATTTTTTTTTCTCATCTTTTATTATTAGAAGTGAAATATATCTTTCATAGCTATCACAGAGGCAGAAAATTTGGGTCCTACCACAGTCACTTGTTTCTGTAATAAATTTTGTTAACGCATAGTATAATAATAATATTATTACGCTTCTGATCACAACATTTTTATTACACATTGTAAAAGACCCCCCCCCCCCCCCATCTTTATGATTTTGACTTATAACTATTTTTTTAATTACATGTATAATTTTATTTGTAAATTAATGTTTTTTCATAAAGCAGACCCCATTTTCATTGTGTTTTTCCCCTTTAAATAATATACCACTTTTTCTTATTGTGTAGGGACATGCACCCACCCTTTCCAAATTACTGAATTACTGACGATGTTTGAAACATCTAAAACCTTCCTTGTTTTTGAACAAGAATTCAAAAGAATTTATCCTTACTTGGACCCTCTGGTTTAGGCGTTGTAGGCGTCGGTGTCGTAGTTGGTTTAGGCGTTGTCGTCGGTTTAGGCGTTGTTGTTGTTGGTTTAGGCGTTGTCGGTTCAGGTGTAGTTGATTTAGGCGTCGTGGGTACGAGCGTACTTGACAGAGCCGGTCTCTGTACAGTCTCTGAACTTTCTAAAGATCCTTTGTCAGGGGCCATTGTTGACAACTGATGACTTGCTATTAATCCTTCCAAATCTTTTAATTTGTCCTCTATACTGTCGATGTGATGGGAAACATTGGATATTGAGTAGTCAATCCGTGCTTTTAAGATACTTCTCCCAGCTTCAAGCTGTTTGATGTCCATTTTGAGAGTCCGTAGATGCCAGTTAAGAGCAGACAGAGTTCTTATAATAAGAGTATGGTCCTTCACATATTGTAAAATTTCTGAGCGTAAGAGTCGAAGTTGAACGTCCACATAGTTTTTCCAGTCCTCCTGTAAATGTCCATCGGAAGTTCCCACAAAAATTAGGACGGCACACAAAATAAACCATGACCCCCAACATTTTACTCTGATTTCCATCGTTTTTGACCAAACTCCTCTGAGTCTGGACATTCACTGTGGTCAACAAGTGCGGTCAGTCAAAATATACACGGTTCATAATCATGCTGTGCAAATCAACTGCAAATAATTTCTTTTAAATTCCTTTCAACTAATTATAACACGGAAACTGTAAATGACCTCCACTCAATACAAATCTTTGCTTAATGTCCATGGAGACCTGTGTCCTAATGTTTACGTTAGTTATTATGGAAGAGATAACCAATGCGGACGCAGTCTTCTCTTTCAGACATCTAATTGTTACCCATAAAAACTCTAATCAGAGTGGACATTAATCACAGCTGGGTAATTTTCTTGCCTTTGCCCATCAGCTGGGCTGTTGGAAACTGGCAAAGTTCAGAGATAAAACTATTTCTGTTGGCATCTCAGTCAACACGGAGAATTTTGCATGTTTCCCTTCTGTTTTGAAGGAAAAACGCTTGTATATGTAAATACTTATTTCATTCAACAGTTTCACCCACTGAAGGTCACCCTAATGGTATTCCGTTGTAGTATATCAGCTCTGTAGCTATAAAACAATGCCTAACGATGGTCAGCTGGACATTGTAAATTTCCTGTTTTGACAATTATTCTGTATACGTTTTGCGTACGTCTCTTGTGAAGTGTGAATGTACCTGACAGGTAATCTGTAACCAGGTACTGCTGACCCCCACTCTCAGAATATTGTACAGTTAACTTCATATCATCACGGGAAAACTATTTACCAAAGTTGCATGAATTCCTTTGTAGTATCTAATAAAAAGATAAAACCCCCATTTTCATCATTTTTTTTTTAAATTTTGCAATATGCATTTCGTACACTTTCATATACCTACACACAATAATAAAAAGGAATCTGTATAATAATCTCTCTCTCTCTCTCTCTCTCTCTCTCTCTCTCTCTCTCCAAAATGCCCTATGTGAAAAAACCTCTCTCTTTCTCTTGCATTAGAAATACTAAACTTTTGAACAACGTATAAGCACCTGAGTGAATCAGGAATTACATAAATAAATATAATTTATATTCATAGTTAATTAATTATAAATCGTAACCATTTTTTTGTTATTTTTACGGGACTTTGTGAAATAAAAAAAAATAATACGACTGTATACATGGTATCCTATATTTATATGTTCAAGAAAAATACGAAACAAAATTCACAGTTTTACGCTTTAAAATTTATCCATTTAAAAAAGTTGGACTACTCTACCAAATCTAAGATTTAAAAGTTCTTACTTTTAAAAATCTTTAAAAAAAAAAAAAAAAAATCCTAATTCTTGCACTTGTTGGAAACACCCAGAAGACATTCAGTCGGTTTGTATGAAAACGAACAGACTCTGTTCGATTTATTTTTCGTTGTTTCTCGCGTTTTTACTGTCCATGGAATATATTCTGAAAATTTCATTTTAAAAAATTTTTAATATTGGACATCCTCCCTTTCAGGCCTTTAATACGCTTTCAAATACTATTATAAGCTCGTAGAGACTGTAGTTTAGGGGACAACATACGCGGATCTAGAGGGTTTTTTTCTATCCTTTTTTATTGCTTGTCAAGAATTTTTCTGGGTTTAATACGTTTGGGAAGGGATTTTAGTGTTTTTTTTTTTTTTTTTTTTTTTTTGGTCAAGGAATATCTGGGTAGGATTTTTTTTTACTGTGGGTGCCCCTCCCCCCGGAAAAAAATTCCTGGATCCACGCCTGGACAACCATTTGATTCTGAAGGGGGGTTAACAGATCCGACGATTGGGAATAAAAAAATCTATTATCGAAAATAAATATTCTGTCCTGAACTGGTAAGAAAATAGAATAATTTTTCCTTGTCTGGTGCTACCCCCCCCCCCTCCCACGGAAAAAAAATGGAGTTGTGGAGTTTGGCGGGTTTCCTTTTTTTTCCTTTAGCTTGTCAAAACTTTTTTCATCCGACTGAAGAAAAATAAAAAAAAATCTGTATCCGATAATCCTTGAATTAAATAATCTGTCCTGCATTCGCATGAAAATAAATAATATATGACTGAAAAAAATTACCAGCACCCCATCCCCCCGAATCAAATAGCCCCTCCCCTTTTCCGTATGTACTAGCCCTTGAATATACACTAGTCTTTCACGAAATTAAACACTGTTAAATGGGTAGCGCCAATGTTTTTTTTTTCTGTTAAATTTACAACTTTTTATATAGATGTGTTATTCTCTTTGGAAAAGTGGACAGGCTTTCGCCTACATCCACGTGTAGGCGAAAGCCTGTCCACTTCTCTAAAGAGAATAGGCGAAAGCCTGTCCATTTCTCTAAAGAGAATAATATATGTGTGTATATGTGCGTTGTATTTGTTATCAGAAAGAGCAGAAAAATAACAAGGCTCTTTTTACAGATGTTGACTAAATCCACAGAGTTTCGAAACTCACTAGGTGGAAATGAGTAATAACCTCCAAATATTTACACCTGAGTCAAATGCCATTGAGAGTTATCTACCCTTTAACCATGTACTAGATTTTTTTTTCAAATTTTCGTGTTATTAATAACTTTCCTTTTATATTGAAATTTGCAGTATACCTATATATTGCTACTTTGGAAGATAATTGTAAAAAATGATATATAAAATTTTTATTCTTTAATTTTTTTCAATGATATACGGGGACTTATTTTCTTCATTATTTCAGCTTCCGCCATGAATTGAACTTGGACTGTCAACATACAACCCAAAACATAGCGCAAAAATGGCCGGAAATGTCGGTATGGAGCAGCTTATTCCCATTGTGAATAGGCTGCAAGATGCCTTCGCATCCCTGGGCCTTCCACTTTCCTTGGATCTACCCCAAATTGCTGTAGTCGGTAGTCAGAGTGCAGGGAAAAGTTCAGTGTTAGAAAATTTCGTGGGCAGGTAAACTATTACGCAAGATGATCCATCAGGTCATTTTTAAACACATTGGTTATAGTGAACTATGTAGCTGATATATGTTTTGTAAAATATCTGCTTAATTTATTATGAAAAGATTTGTATGTTTTTTATTGATGTCTTGTGAACGTAGGGGGCGTATCAGAATATAACTGGCGTGTTATTTTCAATATGCAGGACATACATGATTTGACATGTGTAAGATACATGTCATTATATCACATTGATTAATTTCATTCAATAATGTGTAATATTACATTATGAAATGTATTTTTAACTTATTGGGTGTCATATATTCATCCAACATATGTATAGAAATGTAAAGATAGTGTATGTAAAAATGTGAACAAAAATCACTAATGCTGTGTTGTGTGGTGTACTAAAACCAACAATTTTTATTTTTAACATTGTCATTACTGAATTAAATCTACAGTGTACTCCAGCTTCGCAACCCAAAGGTTTCACATCTGAAGTCTACTCGAAAGGATTTCCGGTCGGAAAACCTTGGTTCGCGAAGAAGATTTTACTCAATTAAGGCACAGACAAAACTGTTAATAAAAAAATCCTATAGTAAATCAAAATGTTTAGAATACCATTTTAGAGAAACATAATATACACTTACCCTACTTAAAATTTTTCAATAAATTTATTGCCTGCAGCATCAGATTTCTGTAATTAAATTAGATATGTTACATTAATATCAGTATTATTAAAATCATAACATACTGTAGATCACTAAATTTTCTTGACACCTTATTTCCGCGAGATTGTTGTTTGGTATTTATATGTGAAACAAAATTGTCATAAATTTAGGTTATGGCTGCTGCTCTATATAATCTTTTGATAGTAGAATTATATGCAAGAATTAAATTTTCATGAGCAGACAGTCTCCCGTAATTACACGAAAATAATGTTCTTGCGAATAAAAAGTGATTTAAAGAATTTCCATAAATTGCTCATTAAATTTATCATCATCAATTTAATATTTCAAATTTGATGTTACACCTGTCAGTTTGGAAAATATATGTTCCAAAACTATAGAGAATGCAAGGGTACATTTTGGCTGATCTTTATAACTGTAGACATGCATTATGATTGGATTTAGTATATGTTCATACTTCATATTCTCAAGTGGTTCATTCACGTACTCGGACAAAGTTTTGTGTTAATTAAGCCTTCAGGGTTTCAACATTATCTCATTTGATGCAGACATACTCTCAACTATATTGGAATTTTTTAAAATATGCACAGGATGCAATATTCATTATTGTGATTAGAAATAAACTTAATTTTTTAATTTAAAATGAAAAATCATTGAAATTGACTTGTCATATATTTTGTAATCTTAACAAAAGGTTGTCACGTAACATTTAGGATGTTGGACAGTGGTATGTAAGTCAAATCACATTTTGTCCAATTGAAAACATATAAAACTTTTTATTAAATCCTTTCACTGGAATGATTTGAAAGTTCATGCTTATGACTTAATGGTATGTCATGATTTCAATTCAAGTTCAAATACATGTACACACAAAGTTATGGAGCAACCAGATTTTGAACATCTTAAAATCATGGCACACTAGTTGGTGTGCAGAATGGGACCTTTTATCTTAAAATTGAAATACATTCAGACTGTGGTTTGTTGTTGTCCTTGACCCGATAGTCTGTCATGATGTTTATTCAAGGTCACTCTAACACGGCCATGGACTAATGATCAAGAATATGGTTGTGGAATGGAAGAACCATGAGCTCTTCTTAACAATATCCAAATGTAGTTCAGATGTCCTGGAACAGCTGAATTATCTAGAATTGGTCATTCATATATCTTAGATTCTAACATACAAGTATATGTCTATTTAAATGAGAATATTAGAATCTTGTATGGGTAGTATAGTTTGTTTTTTTTTCCTGTTTCATGTGTTTTTGTTTATTTCTTTTTAAAGTGTTCCATACACACTAACACTATGCAGGGAAATAATGTGCTTTGTTCTGATGAAAATTCTTTTGACATTTGTTTCTTGTTAAACCCATGATTAAAAGATATGGTATTGATCTGCAGATGCTTAGGAATTGGATAGTGTAGGAAAAGTCATTGTTGAGAGTTATTGATATTTGTACATATTAAATGTTGGGCATTTAATACTAAAAAAGGGAGATAGAGAGCCTTGATTTTCAGTATAATGTACCGGTATTAAATTTCATAGCTTCCAAATATATGATGTAGCATTGAATAGTTGTAGAAGTTTGATAAAAAAAAAACATAGGTGGCATATGATTGTTTTCTTCATTTTGAATACCAATCACATAGCAGTGCAATACAATGTATATTGACTTGCATTCGAAATGCTCCACCCATTAAGTAAAATAAGGAAATTTTTTATCATGTTGTCAGTATTAATTACCATTTTTCCTTATGAACAAACTATACCACATCACAATAATGTCTTGCTTTGATTGGTTACATTGGAGTGATCAGATATGATCCTGACCTCCAAATAGTCAATAAATGCTAGAGCTTTGAATTGAGTAATCTTACAGCTCTACAGAACTGTACTGGAGCACGGCATTGATTTACCAAGGAACCTGTTATGTATATATACACTAGAACAGCCTCCTTTTTACTCTTTTAGTATTGATATTTTGAGGGACATTAAGATGCTATTTATGCCAGTGTCCTAGGGCTTGATGCTAGAAAAGCATGTTGCTTGTTAAACTGTTTTCTGGAAAATTATATAGTTGACATTTTGATTACATTCGCATTAAAAATAAAAATCAATCATTTCAATGTTAATGAGATGGGTATTTATTAGGGATTGCAGTTGGTAACTGGATAACCCATTAATCGGCTGGAATGATGGTAATCAGTTAGAAAATCTGTAATCAGTTAGTCGTAAAAAATTAAAATGTATGTACTGTACATCACAGTGACTATATTTTCGCAACACTTTATTTATGCAAGTAAGCTATTTGGTATTTATTAGCAAGACAAAATTTTCATGAGCTGTGGTTTCTGTTCTATATAATCCTTTATAATGCAAATATACGCGAGAATAAAAATTTCGCGAACAGACAGACATGCGTAATTATGCGAAAATAGAGTTCTCTTGAATAAAAAGTGATTTACAGTATTTGAACACAATTTCCTTGAAATTTTATTTCAAATTCAGTTTGAAAAGAAAAAAAACCAAACATTGATCATTTATAATTAAAGTTCTATATATCTAATTTTAAGTTAAATTTGAGATAATTAACAATCTATGGATAGACATCCTTTCAGTAATTGGACAGTTTATGAAGCGTTAATTACTGTTTAATCTGGGTGTTAGTGCCAAGTTTATCCTTAATTTCTTTAATAATATGTGAAAAAATTATAAAATCACCATTGAGTACTGCAAACATTATTATGTACCTAACTGCTTTCAATGTGTAACTACCCCATTGATCTGTACATTTATCAATTAACATAGATTTTCAATTTAAAAAAAAAGTGTAATCAATTAATAATTCAATCTAATGATGGTGACAAAACAGACAATGCAGAATGTTGTTTAAGTATCTGATATACAAGATATGATTCAGGGTTTTAAAATTGAAATAAAATCCATGTATGGTTTGGTTAAACATAAACAGAATATGTATATAATGGATTTGGTGAACTGTTTTGAAAAAGGATACTGTAAAAGTACTTTTTTCCACGGAGTCATAATTCCGCAGAATCACCATTTCTGTTCAATTTGCGAGTACATGTATAAAATTAGGCGGATTTCTTAAATTTTCGCTGTATGTACTTAGCTAAGCCGCCCCCCCCCCCCACTTTTTTTTTTTACAAAGATAGACAAAATATAGGCATTGAACATTGGGGCATAGTCCCCAAATGGTTTTTTTTGTTGTTTTAGCCCCCTCCCCCCACTTTCAACAGGCACATAGCAACAAAATGTTCATTGAAAGGCCAGTTGCCCCCCCCCCCCCCCCCCCCCCCGCTTGTTACAGTATAGTCAAAGAACGGTAAGTGGTAGCGTATAAAAAAAAATTGGTACTGGAAGAAGTTTGATCCCCCCCTCCCCCCCCCCCCCCCCCCGTTTGAAATTTTTTTTCTCCTTCAGTTAGCCCCCCCCCTTTCAATTTGCTTCCGACGCCTATGCTTGTGGAATCTTCCTTCATTTGGCTTTGATTTTGAGTCATGTAAAACACTGTCATTTGTTGATAAAAACATTGTAGATAATTGAAAAAGTGTACCCAATTGTGAGAACATCTCCCACTTTACAGGAAGAATTAGCAATGAAACAGGAAGTTACCAGAATAAGTGTTACTAGTCGTGTAATTTATTAATGACGGCTTATAGTCTCTTAATATTGAAAGACTTTATGTCAATCAAGCTCTGACAAGAATCAAATGCTTAGAGCACCTCCAAAATTATTTTTTATGACAAGAATCAAATGTTAAGAGCACCCATGAATTAAATTTATTTAATTACGTGACCCAAATTGGAGGATTGAGGTGGAAACTGTGCCTTCAGTTGAAATCTTAGCTGTTGGACGTATAATAAGGCAAATACAATGTATTTACGACTGCGTATTATGTTTGAATATCCCCTATCTCATGATACAGACAGCATGACAACATTGTCTGAGATGGATTCACTTCCTGCTTCCGTATCATAGGAAACAAAGTTAATTTCCTTAATATAATACTGCTGTGTCGAAAAGAAACATATTTTAAATATCAAGTTGAGAAATGTTCATTTACCTATATATGTATCACTTTTCAAAATCATAGTTGAGTACAGGTCTTAGTCAATTCTGGTCAACCTTGGTGTAAATTAAAGAACGATAGACAAAAATGCCTATGTAAGCCCTTTCCCAAAATTTTGAACATTTTTCTTGATTAAATAAAGCAGTGTAAAGCAAAAATGTGCAATGCACTGAATATAGCCTTATAAAGTTTGTCTAGAAATGTGTGTGTATTGCATCAACAATTATACATGTATATTAATATGACATATAATGATTCAGAGCTTGCATACAAGGAAATAGATATACTATTGATAATTATGCAATGATTGCTATTTAAGAAATAAATGAGTAGTTTTGGGCATTTGTGAGGTTACAGTACATTAGAACACATTTAATTCATGAATAAACTGTGAAGATGATTATGCACGAGCAGCTTGAATTACCATGTATTCCACTTTATATATTAGATTTTAACCAAGCATGCAGCTACTGATATTACTGAATGATATACAGAACATTCTAGCTGCCAAGAAATCACTTGTATATGTGTACACTGTACCAAGTTTTATTGACCATTGCATATAATATATTCAATGTACCTTTGACTATAGAATGGCATAGGATAATTCATTGTCATATTCTGCATGTACAATTTGTATGATATTGTAGCACAATATTATATGTATTGAAGTACTATATACGATTTGTTTTTTTACAGAGATTTTCTACCCAGAGGGTCTGGTATTGTGACTAGGCGACCATTGGTGTTACAACTCATCAACAGTAACACAGGTATGAAGGTGTTATTTACAGAGCACAGGTCAACAGATAGTAAATATATACATAGGTGATACATAAATGGTAGGGAATATCCAGTAGTTTCTCTCTGTTATTACTTGTTTCTATTATTGGTGGTCATGTTTATTTTTGTGCATATGTTTGTCATAGTGCCAGCAATTGTAAATATTTACATTTGGAGACAAAGCCATGAATTTTTACTTTAAATAGTAAACTGTCATTGGGAAAAAAGGATTAGGAGACCTTATTAGCCCCCCCCCCCCCCCCCCCACCCCCCTCCGGCCCAATACAAGCGTTATGATCTGAACTTGATTTAATTCCAGTGTTGTAATAAAATGTCATTGAAATTTTTGCTCACAATATTAAGAGTTAAGTATGGAAATTTTTGGGGGAGTTTTTGGTTCTAGTTAAAATGATTTCAAATGTACAAACTAGCAGATAAGATTTTCAAAATTTCAGAGAGAATTATAGTTGACTTCATAAAACAAATTTGATAATTCATCTGGGGGAGTTAAGAAAATAGCTCCAAATTATGCTGACTTAAAGCTTTAAATGCCTGTCATTTAATTGTCTTGCTTATGGAGACATTAATCCATTTCCTAGAAAAATTAGGATTAAATTTACCAGACTTTAAGAGAGTTTTTTTCTGTCATAATGATGGCACTGTACTTTGTGTAAAAGCTTTTACAGACTTTTACAGTTGATAGATTTGAAGTAAAAAATGAAAAACTATAACTTTCGCCCATTGTTGTTGAGACCTTTGGTAACATATGTATCAATTCAAAATCCCCCCCCCCCCCCTCTTCTCTGTTGTATAAATTGGTTTATGCAAACAATTTATAATTTCATAATGAAGCAAGATGTAATGTAAGGCTTTTTGTTGTTGTTGTTTTTTTTATATATAGAATATGCAGAATTTCTCCACAAGAAAGGAACAGTGTTCACAGATTTTACTGATGTACGGAAAGAAATCGAAGCAGAGACTGACAGAGTAACGGGGCACAACAAGGGGATTTCTAATATCCCCATCAACCTCAGGGTCTACTCCCCTCATGGTGCGTAACAAGATAATAATAAAGTTATGCTGTTTTACTTCATGAAACAGTACTTTGCACTTATTTTTCTTGTGAAAAAGTATATTTGAAACAAACTTTGTTATGAAATTTTTTGTTTCCTATTTTGTTATGTCTTTATAAAAAAATATAAATTGATAGTATTGAATGTTTTCAATAATGTTTTCTTTGGTAACATTATGTTTTTATCAGAAAATTTGATATTTGATTGATTTGATAATGTTTCCTTTGGTAACAATTTGATCTTTTAATTCTTAGTTTTGAACTTGACCCTGATTGACTTGCCGGGTATGACCCGTGTTGCTATTGGTGACCAGCCACCAGACATAGAAATGCAGATCAGGTCCATGCTTCTAGAGTTCATCACCAAGGAGAGCTGTCTAATTCTAGCTGTCTCCCCTGCTAACACAGATTTGGCCAACTCAGATGCTCTAAAAATAGCAAAAGAAGTAGACCCACAAGGTACAGAATATTTGAACAGAATGTTTATTTTTTTTTTGGGGGGGGGGGGGGGGGTCCAGTATTTATTGTATTTCAGGATGCCAGTAGGCTGCAGAGTATTTCTTGATATAATTTTAATAAAATGTGTTAATCATCAATTTGATAGAATATCCATTGCTTGATAAGGGATGTGTCATGGGATTTTTCTTTACATATTTGCAGGACTGCGGACAATTGGTGTGATAACCAAGCTAGATTTAATGGACAAAGGGACAGATGCCAGAGACATTTTAGAGAACAAGACATTACCGTTAAGGCGAGGTAAAATGTTCTTCTGGAATTTTTCAGAAGTGTTAGAATATAGGGATAATATGATTTCATAATCTGAATCTTTCTACATTGTACGAACCATATGAAAGAAGTAACTGTTATGTTCAGTGCTTATTCTATAGTTACTATGTTTTAAATGAAATACATGTATGAAGATAACAAACAGTATCCAACTAGAAAGTCCAATGAAATGATTACCAATTTCGAGCAGAGCAAACACAGACCTCAAAATTTAGAGGTGGGATCAGGTGCCATGGAGGATTGAGCATCCCCTGCCGACCGGTTACACCCGCCGTGTGCTCTTTGTCATAGGCGGGGAAAAAACCCAGAAAAATCCATAGACAGTTCAGTGTATAAATAATGGCTTGACAATTAATATGAAAAATGTCAGTCAACATTTGACTCAATGATAGGTTGTATGTGCTGACAAGGTCATTTTATCGACCATAAAACTTGCAAAATGATGACTTCAAACGAGACTGTTGATGTCCTTGTTTCATCAACTTGTTTGTCAATAGCTTGCCTTGTTTTAAAAATTACTCATACGTAGAGCATGCTCTTGCATATCGAATTAACTGAGAGACATAAACCCCATATGCAGGTGATAAGGGTATATTGCTACATAAGTAAGGGAAGTTGACGATTGAAAAGTTGAAGTCATCATGTTTATCAAAATCTTACATCTATCCTAAACATTAAGAATATTAATTGACCTGCTTGTTTCATTGCATTATTATTCATTTTTATGCCCCCCTTCGAAGAAGGGAGGGCATATTGCTTTGCTGCTGTCGGTTGGTCAGTCAGTTGGTCTGTCAGTCTACCAATAGTTTCCGTTCATTTTCTTTGCAGAGATTGCACAAACTGGAATGAAATTTGGTATACAGATTTATCATAAGAATAATAGGTCAAGTTCTGTTTTGGGTACGATCGAGCAATTTCGGACAGAGTTATGCCCCTTGGACTTTGAAAAATTCCAATTATTTGCCATTTCCGTTCAATTTCTTTGCAGAGGTTGCCCATACTGAAACGAAATTTGGTATACAAATTTATCATAAGAAAATCTAGGTCAAGTTCTGTTTTGGGTATGATCGAGCAATTTCGGACAGCGGTATGCCCCTTGGACTTTGAAAAATTCCAATTATTTGCCGTTTCCGTTCAATTTCTTTGCAGAGGTTGCCCATACTGAAATGAAATTTGGTTTACAGATTTATCCTAAGAAAATCTGGGTCAAGTTTATGTTTTGGATACGATCGAGCAACTTCGGACAGAGTTATGCCCCTTGGACTCTGAAAAATTCCAATTATTTGCAGTTTCCGTTCATTTTCTTCGGAGAGGTTGCACATACTGAAATGAAATTTTGTATACAGATTTATCATAAGAATATCTAGGTCATGTTCTGTTCTGGGTGGGATCGAGTAATTTTTGACAGAGTTATGCCCCTTAGAAAAATGCCAGTAATTTGGGGGAGGGGGGCATAAGTGTTTTACAAACAGCTCTTGTTTGTTAAGAGTGTAAACATAAAGTTTCATACTTTTGGGGATTTTTTTAATGACTGTAATATATCTGTGGGTATGTTAAACAGGTTATGTTGGAGTGGTAAACAGAAGTCAACAAGACATTGATGGAAGAAAAGACATCAGACAGGCTCTGGCAGGAGAACGCAAATTTTTCCTCAGTCACCCATCTTACAGGTAGTGTAGAATTTCAGAGTGTCAGTTTTACTGAAAATTCTCTTTATTTCTAGCACATCAACATGTTATTTCAGCAAGTTTCTTTAGGTCAGTGAAAACCTGAATATTTCTTGTCATGAACATAATGTCTTTCACCTTCCATGAGAGGGGTTTATTGTAAATGTGAATTCTTCTCAAATCAGTTAGATTTTAGAATGATTTAGAGTTTTGAAAGAAGTGATAAATTACTAGGTTAGATGACATTTCACATTTTTACTTTGAGTGTACCTAATGTGGCAGTGTTTGTCTTCTGTAGACACATGGCTGACAGGATGGGAACCCCATACCTACAAAGAGTCCTTAATCAGCAACTAACCAATCATATTAGAGATGTTTTGCCAAACTTAAGGAACAAGCTACAGAGTCAGCTTCTAAGTATGGAGAAAGATGTCCAGGAATTCAAAAACTACCAGCCGGATGATCCATCCAGAAAAACAAAAGCAATGATGCAGTGAGTTCTGTTCAAGTTTTGAGCATTTTGAGAAATGTTTAATGTTTTGATTTTTTTTGTCTTTTCACCTGCCCAATAAGATAATTGGCCAGAAAAGTTGATAATTACACATATGAGAATGAATTTTAGCCTTGAAAATTTCGGAAACAATTTGAAAATATTAAGTGTTTTTTGTAATGCATTGTATTGCTTTTAATGAATAATTGACGAGTTTTTTCAAGACATTTTTGTGTACTTGTATTTTTCAGAATGATTCAGCAGTTTAATGTTGATTTTGATAAAAGTATAGAAGGTTCTGGAACAGAGATTAACACAAGAGAACTGTCAGGGGGAGCTAAAATAAACAGGATATTTCACGAACGCTTTCCGTTTGAATTGGTTAAGGTATGAAGCCTATCTGATTGAATTTAGAATGATGTTTATGCATTTAGGGTTGTGTTTGTAATTCTATGTAAATAGTCCCCCCCCCCCCATTTTTTAAAAAAAATTTCTTGGAATTGAAATTAAGTTTTGATATGTCACACACAAAAAAAAAATGGGTATGAATTTTTCTTCATGCCATTAATTTCTATTGGAACATAAATTTTCTTTTAATTTTTTTGCTTTTGGAATTAATGAATCAGAGTACTTTTTATTGTTGACAACCAGAGTACAATAAACTATTAAAACCCATCATGGGTGTCGGTGATTAATGAAAGATTTGGGGTTCATTGAAAAATTATAAAAAAAAAAAAAAATTTTTCCATAATTCTTTGTTGTTTTCCTTGGTGTATATACATGTATTTTGCATAGTACACGTACATGTATAATCATACAGAAAGTGTTTGATCTCTGTTTATTGTTTTTAGATTGAATTTGATGAACGTGAACTCAGGAAGGAAATTAGTATAGCCATTCGTAACATCCATGCTATTCGGTGAGTATTTTTCAAATTGTAAAAAGAATGATTTTTTAAAATGAAATTGATCAGATCTGTAGTGCATATTCAAAGAAATCTGAAATTCTGTGGAAAATTTTTTATTTTTATTTTTTTAATTGAACTTGAAAGTAAATTTCCGCATTCTTGTTTTCCAGAACAGGTCTATTCACTCCAGATAAAGCCTTTGAAGCTATTGTTAAAGAATACATAAGGAAACTAAAAGAACCTTCATTGAAAGCTATAGACATGGTGGTTACAGAATTAACAAAAGTTGTGCATAAGTGTACAGAAAAGGTACTGTTCTTGTTCACCAAAAAAAAAAAAAAGCTTTGTAAAGGAATCATTGTATTGGTTGGCTATCCGATAACTTGTACACAGAATTATCAGGATGAGGAAAAAAGAAACTTATATTACGTATTTGATATTTAAATTCTTGATTGAAAAATAATGAGAGACAAAGGTATCTGTCACTTTTTCAAATAAACTTATTAGAAAATGAACAGCTCTCATAATATTTATATGTGGCATTTTTTTTTTTTTTAAATTACACATAAATTAATTGTACTGTATGGTAAAAAATCACAACATAGTTTTTTTTTTTTAATTAAGTTAAATATCATTGACTTTCCATTAAATGAGTATATTTCGGACTACTTTAGATGAGCAGGTATCCACGACTACGGGACCAGACAGAGAGTATAGTAAACAACAGAATCAGGGAGCAGGAAATGAAGGCCAAGGAACAGCTCAAGTTACACGTAGAATTCGAGCTCGCCTACATTAACACCAACCACGAGGACTTTATAGGATTTGCTAAGTAAGGATTTTCAGAAGAAAAGCATTGTTAATCAAGATATTTGAAGAATTAATTCATCTGAATTCATATTTTCTTTTAATGAGTTTCCATCGCATTTCTTTTTCCAAGAGGTGATATAGTGGGAAAGTGCTGCTTGTATTGTTTTGTTGTGCCTGTATTATTTTATCCTTTTTTTGTATCATTTTGAAGAATTTTTTCAGAGACCTATTGCAGTGAAGGAGCTCATAAAGAAAGATTTATAACAATAATCGTATGTCCATAAACAGTGCATCTTGTTTCAGGTCTAAAATCAATAATCATTTGAAAAATGTATATCTTATTTCAGTTTTTTTCCTCACTTTTTTTTTTAATACCTGTTCACCATACACACAGATTTTGATTTGTACGTAGATGTAGTGCTCTTTTTGATTTTCTCATGTGAATTTTCTGTGAAAAAGGCAGATTCACTTGTGCATTATTATGGCTGATTTTGTTACAGTGCCGATAGAGCTGTGCATAAAGAGAGAAAACAAGTCACCAATCAGGTACATCACTGCACTTGTAGTTTTAACATTTCTAATTTCGATTAACCCATCATTTCAGTGCCCATAACAAAGCCGAAAATAAAGAACGGAAAAAAGTTGGCAATCAGGTATTTGACTCTATACCTATCATTTTGTTTAACCCACACTTACCTACAAGATAGCACCAGGTATTATTTTTGTCTTCTTCTCTTTTGTGTTTATTAAATATTGATGGATTGCAGGGAAAAAATAATATAGTATTGTATATAAATATGTACATGTATATGAAAATTCTTCAGAGAGTATGCATGTACTGTCATCGTCAATTTTTGATTGCACTATTTTATAATTCTTGTAATATATTTAGTTTAATTAGAAATTTTTACAGTACTCTCAGGCAAGTGATTAATTTTTGGTAATAAAAGTCTTTGAAATTGTTAACCTTACAATTTTCTAACAAGAATGAAGATTTTTTTTTCCTCTTTATGAATTTCCTCAGATTTTACCAATATCTGTTTTAAACTCTTTAAAAAGTTAATTCCTGAGACTTGATAATTTCACAGCATGAACTCTTTATAAACTATAATATAAATATATAAATTGATATTAATGTCAGTGTGAGTATTTAAGTCTCTTGGTCTTATCTATTTTAAAATATTTATCATAAAAATAACTCTTGAAATAAAAATATAATTCCACACTAAAGCTTGTATTCTTTTAAAGAAAATGCATGTATAGCTAAACTGTTAATGATTTGAGAAATCAAATGTATATGTTACATGTATCTTTGGGGTTTAATTGATCTGTGTGGGTACCATTCCAGCAACAATGATTTTGTGCAACGTAAAAAGTGGTACATTGTCTTGCTAAGAAAATCAATCACAAAATTCTCAGTCCAGCAACTTTTTTTAGCTCACCTTAGCCAAAGACTCGAATGAGCTTTCCTGATCAAATTTTGTCTGTTGGGTTTTTGTTATTGTTGTCATTGCATGTATCAGTTTTTTTTTCTCTCTCAAGTTTTCAGGTTTTATCTTCCCAATAACCAATTTAAAAAAAGTTTTAATGTATGGGCAAGAAATTTTAAGCAGTTTATATGTTAGATTACTAAATTTATCCTCATTAGGAAAATGTTCGAAAAAAATGAATTTTTGAGATTTAATACAGTAATACTGTGCTATAAAATTTGAATTTGACTTTTATTACTTTTCAAATTTGCCAGGTGATAAGAAAGGGCTATTTAACTCTACATAATATCAGCTTCATGAAGGGTGGATCCAAGGATTTCTGGTTCGTCCTGACCGCTGAAAGCATTTCCTGGTTCAAGGATGAGGAGGTGGGCATTCTTCTTTGTGTATTGACTTGTCAGAAAAACGAGTTCAGATTCAAAATATTTAATGAAATAAAATTGCAAATTCAAAATATAAAATATTAGTATATTTTTTTTATGGGATTAAATCTTAAACATGAATTCAAATCTCTTAATGTATTAGTATGTGTATTAGTATATTTGCTTGTGATATTTTATTTTCTGATATAAAATAACCTATAATTTAGAATATTTTTATAATAATATTTCTCAAGTCCGTAATCACTCTTATGCTGCCATAATTGTCTGATGATAATTTAATTGATTTAGGCCAGTATGTATTTGATAATTGTTGTAAGAGAAGAATTTCTGATCAGTGCACACAACTAAGATATCAGTCACTAATATGTTAATAACTAATTGTTTTATGATTCATTCTTAAGTTTTCCCACAAAATGTAAAGTTGCTTTTGTTAAAGTACTGTATGCCAACCAGGAATAATATGCACTTCCTTCCACACACCTTTTGCAATCTCCATTTGTGATTCTGTCTTAGAATGATTTTGTTGTTAAGCGTTGATTAAATACGACCTTCAAAACCTGTCGTCAGAGTAACAGCTCCATCAGCATGCTAAATAACAAGCATTTAAGTTTGTATTTTATTTAAATGATTGAGAACCATTTCTGTGTGATAATGTTAACAGCTGAGCATTTGTTTGTTTGTTTGTTTAAGAAGAGAAAATCAACATTTTTTGAAGTAGACCTTTAATACAATCATATTTATTCTTTCCCAGAAAGATTCTGTTAACAAAATAATACTTTGTGAAAAAAAGGCATTTGGTTTGAAACCTTCACTCTTGAATGACATGCATGTGCAAGTATATTTTTTGTCACAAGGCATGGCTGAATGACCATGAATTTCTAAGATTTAGACAAAGTAGATGGATGATAACAGTGCTGTTATAATATTTAATACAAGTTATTTAAATTGCTTGCAATCCATATGTAAAAACGTATGCAATACTGTACATAATTTGAGTATTTTGTCAAGCAATTAGACTTTAAACTTGCAGGAGAAAGACAAGAAATTTATGTTATCTCTGGAAAATTTAAGAGTACGGGATCTAGAGGCAGGAATTCTGAACAAAAGACCTTCATTTGCTCTGTATTCAAATGAAAATAGGTATATAAAGGTGGATGAATTGGAGGATTTAGCCCTACATATCAACCAGTCCTCAACAACCAGACTCTTATGTTGTGTGTCTGTTTAATTTGTTCTCTATGTTAATATTTGTTTCTTGCACAATATGACAGCATGCAAAGTAGATGAGTGATTTATACATGTAGTTCTCTGTGATGTTATTGGTTGTGTTATTAATTCCAGTTTTAATGTTACTTTTTTTCTCTCTCTTTTTTTACAAGATTTAATACACATTATTTTTCAATGCTGTCCAAATCATATTGAAAGTCGTCTTCTCCAGTTTACTGAAAAGATGAAAATTCACATAAATTGCAGTAAGTTTTGTGGGAAGGGGAGGGGGGGGGGGGGTATCCAGAGGTTGTTAAAGTTGTCAGTGTCAGTATATTTTTGATATGGCTATTCATAGTATTTCAACATTTTACTGGGAAAATAGAACATTAACATTTTAATTAAAATAAGATAAATATTGTGACTGTAAAATCTCGTACATGGGAAATGTCTACTTTCCAACTGAAATAGGAAAAAAGCTAAATTTACCCGGTAACTGTAGATAGACAGCATGTCTGAGTAATTTGAGTTAAATTTTAATTCTGTCGGTCAAATCCTAATGTTGATAGAAAATCTCTTCCATACTACCTGTGTAAGATTCACATATACACCTTGTTCAAGTAACAGGTTGTTCAATCCTGCACTAACTATTCCTGTTCCCGAGCATTTGGCATAAGTGCATATTTGATTCATTGAAACAAACTTATAATTAACACATAAGACTGACAATTATTCTAGGAAAAAGAGAAGAAATATGTTATGAGCTTGGACGGCCTTTTAGTACGAGATATACCTGACTCGGGCTTTATGACTAAAAGAAAGTCATTCGCAATCTTTAACCAAGACAACAGGTCGGGTGATATACGTATACACAACTGCACGCATAGTGTTGATATTGTATGTTGTAACCCTGTGCCTAACACTAAATCCTCGTTGCTTTTTACGTTCCTTATCATGTTATATTTTGTGGAATAGAAATGGTGGAAATTGTGTCTTTTTTTTATGTAAATCATACAGATGGAGATATTCATTCTTTTCACCTGGGATGGATTTTATTTTGTAGGTGGAGTTGAAAATTTTTGACTTTTTTTTTTCATAAAAAATCAATTACATTGTGCATGTATACTACTCAAAGAGGGAGTTTTATTCAGCTTTTTAAGAATGTACATATCTGTGTGAATTTTAAACAGGTTACTAATAAAAATTTGTCAGCAATCAGTGCGTATTAACAGTGAGATTCTCATTTAGGCTTCCCATCCAGCTAAAGAGCTGCAGCATGACAACTTTCCTTTTAGTACAAGTGTACAAAATTTAACAGCACTGTAGCATGTTTGAATATTGAAATTTCCAGGAAAAAGAGAAGAAATTCATGATCCCCCTTGATGGCCTCCGAGTGAGAGATGTGGAAAGTGGTCTGTTCACTAAACATTGTTTTGCATTGTTTAACCCAGAATCTGGAAGGTATGTGATGAAACCAGAGTTCCTCTTCTGTGTTTTCATCCTCATTTCGACCTAAACATTACTTGGATTTACTTTTCTTCATGTACACTGTAGCTAACAGGAATTTTTTTGGGGGTGCTGTGTGTATTCAACCTTCATCCTGCATGTGCATGGCTTGGGGTGCTAACATACATTGCCTGTGTAGTGTTCCTGCATTTTACTGTAGGAAATTCTGATTTCTGAAAGAGTGAGAGAAAAAAAATGCTTGAAAACTGTTATCATAAGCTAGCACATAAATTTATTGGATTTGGAAATATATAATCCAATTCTTAATGGATGCAGAGATCATGACTAAATACTGAGTAGATCAAGCTAACCAAGACACAAGATAAGGTGAGCTTTGGTGATCAGAGCTTCCATCTGTCACTCATTCTTCTTGATTTTTAAAAAAAAAATCTTTTTCATATTTTTATTTTCTGATTCATCATAATTTCATGTGGGGGTAAGAAAAACTAACTGATCCCCTCAAAATTACTATACTTTTGAAGATACTGGTGTCACTGGTACTGCAAATGGTAGAGAATCTCTGAGAGCAGCTAGTGTGACATTTTAGTATGGAACATGATGCTTAAATATCATTGCTTTTGTAAAGATACATGAACCTTGATATTGTGATTGAAGTAATAGCTAGTAATCACTTATCCTACTGCCATATTTCTTGTAGCATTCACTTGAAAAAATGTGGCTTTACATTTATTTCAGACTATTACATATCACTCCTGGATTTAGGTTTTTGACAATTTGATAATGAGTTATAGTGTACTTGTTTATTATTAAGGATAATCATGATTTAAGCATACCTGTCACTGACCAGTCCTGAAATGTGCTGTAATGATAGCACTTTCATGTATTTAAAAGCCATCAAAGAACAATCCTGAAATTGTTTTGCCTATGAGAGGAATTATTGAGAATTCCATGGCATGTTTTTTTTTTAAATTCGTGGTATGTACTGGTGCCTTTTTTCAACTTGGTGACTTTGTTTCAGTTCAACTTGTTTGTGTAACTTGTGATTAAACTAAATCGTGGTGTTGTGATCATCATTGCTCATGTAATACCAACAAGACATCTGAATTATATTACAGCTGTACCATGTGTACAGTGAAAACACTACTGTTTGGTGTATATAAATGAATCAAACAATACACATATATAGCTGTTAGGAATGTGACATAACATAGTGATTATGATGTTTGTGGGGTTTTTTTTTAAGCAGATGTACTGGAAATTTATTTATTTATTTATTTATTTTTTTTTTGCATGCTGAATTTATATATCATGAAAGTATATTAATGTATTTATACATACATGTATATAATGATCATATAAACCCTTGATTGGTATATTAAGGAGATCACTTAAAAAATTATATAGTAGGAAAAACGTATAGACACCATTGTGACTAAGTTGTATAACAATACATGTCTATATTTCATAGAAGTATATAAAGACAAATTCCACGCATTTCTGTTCTGCATTCTGCTTTTTGTTTCCATTATAATTTTGTGTCTCATGTATTGGATTATAATCCTTATGTATATTTTAATTTAATTTATTTGATCGAAAATAAAATTTGCATAACACTGTAAATATTAATGACCAGTTTATTTTCAAATAAGTGCCAAAGATATTAAAGATTGAAAAATGCAAAATTGCAATTTTGAAAGTTAAAGATCTTAAGCAATAATAATGTTGAATATGTTGTTTTTAATGCATTATTATTGGGACAGTGGAAAGCTCGTTCAAGATGTTGTCAAATAAAGCATTGTTTTTGTTCAGGAATGTATACAAGGATTACAAACAGCTGGAACTATCAGCTGAAAACCAAGAGGAAGTGGACAGTTGGAAAGCTTCTCTCCTCAGGGCAGGGGTTTACCCTGACCGATCACAGAATGAGGACGACAAAAAGGTGGGTGTACGGTGAGGGTTCTCTACTTTAGGGCTTCTCTCCTCAGGGCAGGGGTTTACCCTGACCGATCACAGAATGAAGATGACAAAAAGGTGGATGTACAATGAGGGTTCTCTACTTAAGGGCTTCTCTCCTCAGGGCAGGGGTTTTCCCTGAATGATCACAGAATGAAGGTGACAAAAAGGTGGGTGTACAGTGAGGGTTCTCTACTTTAGGGCTTCTCTCCTCAGGGCAGGGGTTTACCCTGACCAATCACAGAATGAGGATGACAAAAAGGTGGGTGTACAGTGAGGGTTCTCTACTTAAGGGCTTCTCTCCTCAGGGCAGGGGCTATCCCTGAAAGATCACAGAATGAAGGTGACAAAAAGGTGGGTGTTCAGTGAGGGTTCTCTACTTAAGGGCTTCTCTCCTCAGGGCAGGGGTTTACCCTGACCAATCACAGAATGAGGATGAGAAAAAGGTGGGTGTACAGTGAGGGTTCTCTACTTAAGGTAAATAAAAAGGGGGCATGGAATAAAGGAAACAGGGATAAATGAGGATTTGGCTACATGTACTTTGGTATAATGTGGAATCATTTTAATTCAATTGACATGGGGTGTCAGTGTTCATGGGCAAGTAAAATTTTATTTAATCGTGGGGACGTAATTTTGTGGGTAACCCATATGTACAGAAGATTCAGTGAAACAATTTGCTGATGGAGTTGTGGTTCATGGGGATGTAAATTTTTGGTTAGAGTGACCCACAAAATCCATGAACATTGGGCATTCCACAGTATGATATATATATCATATCAAAAGTCATGAAATGTAAGATCATCGATCCAACTACAGATGGAAAATAACAGAGGATAATCTAACAGAAAACTGTTTATAGATAAAGAAGATAAAAGATATTCATAATTTTATAAATATATCAGAAATATAGGTTAATAACAAAAAAATTGTTAGGCATTCTGATTGGAAAAAAAAAATGGTGATAATGCTAAATTATACGGTAAACCACTTTTAAAGCAAGCATGCTTAGAACGAATCGATGCTTACAGCAAAGTGATTTTCATTCCTGGTGACTTTAAAAAATATTTTGAACCTAACGGTCATAATGGATATGATTAATTAATTATGCTTATAACAAAGCAAAATCATCTGTTCCCAGCACTTCGTTATAAGCTTGTTTTACTGTACATTTACCTGTTTGTAAAGTATATTCTTTGAGTTTAAAATTGATATAAAACCATGCATTTCTCATAAAAATATCCTTGCAGAATAAGGAAGATGTGGGCTCTATGGATCCACAGCTGGAACGGCAAGTAGAAACCATTAGAAATCTGGTGGAGTCCTACATGAAAATTGTCAACAAAAACCAGAGAGATCATGTCCCAAAATGCATCATGCACATCATTGTCAATGAGGTTAGCCAGTATTTCAAAATGCACTGTTCACCTAAAAAGCAAATACAGGTATTATAGGTGTTATCAGTGGAAGGTTTTTTTTCTTGGAAATTCTTTGACACAAAAGTGATGGTCTGATGGAATTACAGGCTAAAAGTAATAGAATTTATACAGATGAATAAATATACAGTTGAACTTCGGTATCTCAAACACTGATATCTCAATTATCATGGCTATGTCGAACTGATTTGGAAGTCCCAACTACTTATTCTTCAAGTATTTTACCCTTAAATCCTCGGATGTCTCGAAGTTTTTTCTCAGTCCCTTCAAGTTCGAGATAACAAGGTTTGACTGTACATGTACACAGTATGATTTTTTAAATCAGAGATATACCTTTATGTACACCTGTAAATTTACAATGTTTGTTTGAAATTATTTATGTATTATTGTGTGGTATGATTCACAGATAAAAGAATTCATTGGAGGAGAACTGCTGGCTCATTTATACTCAAGTCCCGAACAAGTGAGTAATGTGATTTCCAGTGCTAGTTTTTTTTTTTTCAATTTCCACTGAATTTAAGCATTAGCAATGTAAAATTCAGTGAATAAATGCATTCTACATACTACAAAAAGGGGAATGAATTTTCTGAAAGTTTGTATCCTGATGACATGGAAGATTGATTTTGAGAGTAATTAATTTTATTTGTTTAATTAATCAGAGTTCTATGATGGAAGAGTCTGCTGAGGAAGCTCAAAGGAGGGAGGAACTCCTCCGCATGTATCATGTGACTAAAGAGGCCCTGAGCATCATAGGGGACATCTCCATGAGCACGTCCTCCACCCCTGTGCCCCCACCTGTGGATGATGATTGGCTGAAAGTTGACCAATCAATGCAAAATGGGTGAGTTATTTTTTTTCATATCACATAGGCAACAATTTAGTACAAATTGAATAGGGTGACCAGAGATTAGGCATAATATAGTGAAACTATCAATAAAAGTGGTATGAAAATTAAATCTTTGTAAAAAGAAAATTCCTGTAAAGAAAACCAGGAAAATTCACAGTTTTAGACTACTACAAAGAAATACTCTTCCTTTAACAGAAGAACTCACATTTCTTTTCCTCTTTTATAGTAGACCCAATTCAAGGCCATCCTCTCCCAAGCCAGGAAGAGCCCCTCCCCCACCACTTCCTAATCGCCCGGGCAGTGCCCCTCCTCAGAATATGCCCGCAAGGGCAGCACCAAACATTCCATCCAGGCCAGCTCCAACAGCCCCTGGATTCAGTGCATCTAATGCAGCAGCAGTGGCCAACATGATGGGAGCCAATGTCCCTCCAATTCCAGCGTAAGTTATCGGTCGGGGTGGTCATACTTAGTTGTTGTGAAGTGGAGAGATGCTGAGATCTCACATGTTTAGTATCATATCTTATAACATTTACATAGACTGATGAAACATTAGAGATTCTTTTATCATCATAAGATATAATGATTTGATTTTTTACTTGTTTGTAGTTTGAATTGAGGACAATATGAAGATATTTTATCAGAACGATTTTGGTTTTCAGGTTTAGATCTTTTGACAGAACATTTTTTTAAATTTTTTTTTTACATTGAATATATAGGATGTATTACATTGGTGCATATTATAAACACTTTTATGCAGTTGGACTGCGTATGATCCATGCCAACTGTATTTTACCAAAATTTATAGATTTTGGCATTAATTTACATATTAGGTTTTAAATGTATCTCCTTTCATTGGCAAGAATTTTCTTGGTTTTCAAACTGAATTGAGCACAGATTTCAAAAATTGCTTTTCTTTTCAATCACTTATGAAATATGAAACCCTCACCTTTGAGTAAGTTTAACACAGTATAGTCACTTAATTGCTAGATAAATATTGAAAAATGTAATATAGAATCTGACTGAAGAAATCAGTGAATCTAATAAAGGAACCTTAAAAATATAAACTGCTGATAGGAATTTGTTAATAAAGGTTAAATTAAGTAATGTTTTGTCAAATTTAATTATTATTTTTACGTACAGTACATACATGGATGTGTATATGAGATAGCAATTGCTTTTTAAATTGGTGCAAATGAACCTAATAAATTGAACAGAATAGTGACACAGTATGTATTTTGGTGTAAATGCTCATTGCCTTGCAGCTGGGTAGATGGATAGCCTTGTGATTAATTGTGGCTCATTAGTAATCAGAGGTTTAAATAGTGAAAAGATTATGCATGTCATTAAATACTCTCAGTATGTGAAAACAGTTACTGGGTTTATATGAAATTGACATACTGTAGATTATCAAATTTTCGTGAGACCTAATTTTCACAAGATAGGTACTTGATATTAAGTGGGACAAAATTTTCACAAATTCTGGTTATTGCTGTGTATAATCTATACAAATAAAAATATACACAAGGATGAAATTTTTGCAAGCAGATGGGCTCATGTAAGCAAAAATAAAGTTCTTGCGAATAAAAGTAAGTTACAGTATACATGTATGCAGTCAAATAGGGTTAAGATGTAAACGAAAAAGACTGTTCCTTTAAATTTTATATGTAAATTTGGGTAGAGAAAATTAAAACAAGTAGAATGTAAATAATCTATGTATTGACTTGTCTGATTTGCATAGTATAGTAAAGTAATACAAGAACTAATATTTTTCCCAAGTCATACAGCATGGGCACATTTTGTCTTTTTTACAGGAAATATGATGTGAATATAGACCGGAAAACGGCACAAAAAGGGTTCGATACAAAACACATCTTCCCAATAACTCACTCTCTGTTTGACTGTTCTAGTTTGATTTTGACAATGCTATAGAATATTTGTCAAAGAAAATTAGAAAGCTGTGCTTCAAACCTGTTGCCAAAAAAACATGTGTTAAGATCATTACACAATCACAGCAAAAAAAAAAAAAAAAGAAACCAAGTCAACGAATGATATAGAAATGAAAGTCCTTTGAAATAATCTAATTTATTTTGAAACAATTTGAAACACAGTTTTCGTTGTGTTTATTTTGCTATATCTAACACTAGAATTCAATATGCACTCGTTATACAGTGTGGTTTACTCACACACATGTATGTATACATGACCTGTGAACTTCAAACAGAAAGTGAGAGAACACCACATTCAGCTAGAGATGGTGGTGGTAGTTAATCTTTGGAATATTTTAAATATAAATGCAATGTAGATGCAGGGCTGAAAAAAAAACAACATTAAAACATGTGCTACTATGGGGAAAAGTGCAAAAGTAGAAAAAAAAAATATGATATGCACCATGATGCACTGCTGCATTTGTCAATGAATGCATGTTCTGATCTTTTCTTTTCTTTTTTTTTTTTTAATTTTCTGGTTCAACTGCTTTGCTTTAATATAAGAATGTGTACATGTGGTAAGAGACATGTATACCTAGTTATCTAGTATATATGTCTTGGAAGTAGTGCTCAGAATTTCTATGAATCTTCAGCCTTTCATGGTTACACATAATGATGGACACTTTTTAGAGCTATATATTTTGTAGGATTCTTTTTTTCACACATCTATTTTTGTTTGTGAAGATTGTGATGAATGACAATACCCCTCAGAGCATTTTACCTGTCTGTGTGCATACTAACAAGTTGATAAAATATTACTGTGCTTTGTGCTGCAAGGTTCAGTGGTGGATATCTTTATTTAATAGAGAGCACTTTTTATCTTACATTTTCTATCACTAATTTTATTTTTAATCAATTCACATATCTTTTGATGGGGTTATGAACCTATCTGACCATTTCTGTAATCAACAACTACAGGTTAAAATTCACATGACTGTTTTAAGTGTTAGAAATTCAAAATTTGAAGTATTAGGTGTACATGTATGAGAAAAGTTAGGACAGCAAGAGGGTATAGGTTTTATAGATAAAGTTTTAATACAGTTCTTTAGGTACATGATACATTTGGTTAAAAAAAAATCTACATTGATTTCATCTCCTTGGTTTATGGGAATTCAACTTTTCTTGTAGTGGAAACAAGGGAGCAAGAAACTACCAAAGCTGCATTAAATATTTCATGCTGCATTTGGTTGCCATTTTTCTCTTTCTAAATAGATAGCTTAATAATCTTTCTTGCATAATATGAATCGCTGCCTTTGGATGTGTAGTCATAATAGAGGATTTATAATTACACTGTAGCCAGATCTGTACAGCTATTATATATTAAGCTGGAGCTTCTTTCTTCTTTTGCCAGTTTTTTTCTTAGCTAAATTTGGTTTTGTGATTTTTGCAATATTGGCTCTTTGTTTTATTTCATTTTTTTTAAGAATGTGTAATTATATAATTGCAATACTTTATAATTTGATATTTTCAAAAAACTATTGAGTTAATTTATTTTGTGATAAAAAGCTTGAGTTATATTTGTAATTTATTTTGAATTAAGGAAGAATGTCTCTTTGGAAGGGGAGATAAGTCTAATCTTTCACGATTGGTATTTATTTTGAATCAAGGGTAAAAAGTCTGTTCAGAAAGGGAGACAAATCTATGATTTATAAATTAATTTAAGTCCTTTAACATTAAATATGTATTTATTAACATGATTATTAGTTCATTTGGTATTTTATCAAAATTGATTACTATGAAGTGCTGTGTTTGCATGCATTTCGAAATTCATTTAAGTTTATATCTAGACTACTGGAGCATTATTTGAGAATAAATTACATTTTCATGCACCAAGGGAGACATTCCACCTTAATAAATGGGATGCAGAATTAATTCTAGTGAGAATGAATTTATTATAAATAGTCTTTTTTTTTGTAAAATTTAGCTGGAATGTTGGCCAAGCAGTTGGAAGTGCATATATGCGCAAGTACGTTGACTCCCAATGTAGCTTTCATTTGTATTATCAGGATTCCTATTTTGCTTATTAATTTCACTAATTCTGTTTATGTAAAATATGATTTGCATGGTTCATTCTAAATCATATGCTTTTTGCTATTTTTCATATTAATTACATTTTAACCAGAGTTTGTTTACATGTATATTTACCAGTTGTATTAATACACAATATTACAGATTTTAAAACAAAATTGGGGGGGGGGGGGAGATGGTTAAGTAAATTAAATCGGTAAAAGCACGAAGCTGAGCAGTAATTGGATAACAGAGAGAAGGAACTTAATAAAAAAAAAACAAACTTGCTAAAATGTGTAATAGTCTAAGGGTTGAAGTAATATAGAGATGCCACGGAAAGATCCAGGTCCTCATGTGAAGGATTTTCAGTATTACATTAAACATTTTCGCAGTAAACTAGACTGAAGATGGCTTAGGATCCTAAACCTAGGAAAAGTGGACCCTTTCTAAGATGTTAGAAAAGAAAGTATATAAACTGAAATTGCTTTTCTGCATTCCAACCCCCTCCCCTTCCAAAAAAAAGGGAAGGGGGTGTTATGCCCCATTTTGTGGGCTGGAATTTTTGGGCTAGATACTGTCCATCCATCCTCCCATTTAGCAAAAAAATTCCTGGATATGTTCTTATATTATAATTCTGTATTGTGAGCTTCCTGATATTATATAGTCACGGCATTTTTGCATCATTTTGCATTTCAGGAAAATATATATATATACTTATATACACTTTGTTTCTAATTCCTTGTAAACATGTACTTCTAATGTATGCTTCTGTAGAATTTCACCCAAAAAATGTAAAACTAGTTTAGATGGTGTGTTATTATTTCCAGTTTACAGAAAATATACACATATTTATTTTTTTAAAAACTTCTCTGTATTCTTTTCTAGTCGCCCAGGACCGGGGGGAAATATTCCAAAAATTCCAGACCGACCATCCATCCCTTCAAGACCAAACATGAATTGAGAGGACTGGATCAAAAGTGGCAACAGAGGGGTGTAATTCTTTGAGCAGATGAAAAATTAAGTACATTTATGCAAAAAAAATTGTGTATTTCATATTTGATATTAGTGAGTTCCAATTAAAAAAAAAAGAGTGAATACAATGAAAATAAATAAATATTATATCAGTAAGTCCAGTCATCAGCAGGCTGATGACATTTCCTAATTCTTCCACGTAATGAAACGAACTGTTTTTTATACAAGAGAAAAAAAAAACAAAACTGGAACACATGTAAGTCAAAGTCACAAGAACATAGTTCAGGAGCAATGCAGAATCAGGTGGAATCCTACAAGAATCCAGGATTTGTTTTTGCTTCAGCCAAAATTTCAAAATGGAAATTGTCTCAAGATGGTTTGTGCATATAAATCTATGTATGACTTATTGCTGGTAAGATTTCTGGATATTGACTGTCTTTATGACAAGATGTAAAGCCTGTAGAAATTATAGAGAAAATCTCCAGATTTAATGTTAGTAATGTCCAGTACCAAAATCTGTGTGATGTTGTAAGATATGTGCATATTTTAGGAAAAAGCAGTATTTTACAGTAGATTCTGAAATTGTAATAGCTGTTGTAAAGTTTATAATACATAATACATTTATTAATAGTTGATTAACATTGGTATGTAATCATAGAACTGCAAGAAGAATATAAATTGTCTGGGATTAAATGCACATGCTTGTATTTTTAATGGTGGGAATATTTAAACAGGAAATTTGAAATGTAATGCTTACTACTGTACTTGATTTTTGAATAATGGTTATTAGATTTAATTTGAAAATTAATGTTCTGTTTGAGAAGAGATAGAATTCTATTTATAAAACGGTCTGAATTTGAAGTGCTACAGAGGTTATATAGGACAGATGTACTGTATTTAAATGTGTATAGATCGTTGTACAGAATCAAAGTGTGTACATAATATTGTACATTGTATAATATGTAGATAGTATCTTGTTACCATGGTTACTGTTTATATTATGTTTGTACTATGTGATGATTTGTGCAATCTTGTTTTACTTTTCAATTCTTGGGAACTTTTTTTTACTAGACCAGCCATCAGAAGGTTATAAGTTTGAATTTGAATGAAAAAGAGATTGTCTGAGTTTCTGTTTTACACGAAGGACAAAAAAATATGCAAAGAAATTGATCAGTAATTTTTTTGCACCTGTCAAATAAATTTCATGTGTATACATTTACATGGACAAACTATATGTAATTCATTACATGCATTTTGTTCACTTTGCCAATATTGGGCCATCCAAAATAAATGTTTGAATAGAAAGTCTGAAGAGGAGATGGTCATACATGTATTATGAATTGATTACAATGTTAAAAATTTTTCAAACTTGTTTACATACTGTACATGTACTTGTAAAACATTTTAAAAACCCTCTCATCTTAAAATCCAGTTTTTTTGCAAGTATGTCTTTTTTCATAGACATATATCTGATAGTAAAAATTCCTCTCTCCTTCCTCTAAGGTTAAATTAAAGAAATATAGAATTTTATTTATTTTGGATGGCATTATGAAAGACATCCACAAGTAATATTTAAACTTCCTCATGCATTAAACCTTGTCGAGCAAAATTCAAAACTACTATAAATAATAATAAACTTTATCACATTTCTTTGAGATATTTTTACAAGTTTACAGTATAGACTTAATAAAGTCATTTTTGTAGCATTTATAGATTATATTCTAATTAGCTGTTAAATCATGCATTATCTAAAATGACACTCTAGAGATATTCATGTCCACATTCTGAGTATGCAGTGAGAGTAGTGAATGTTTGTAATTGTGTGTTAGAACTAGACAATGTCTGGTAGATAACAAAATACATGTATGTTGTAATATGGATTTATATGTCATCCTATTAATTAAAAAAAGGGGGGGGGATTTTTTTGGATGTTTTTAATTAGTCAGAGTTAATGGACAGAGAATGTGAGATTAATTTTATTGCCATAACAGGTTGATGTTCAGTCCTTTATAAGATCTTGAAAACCACTTCTGCTTATAGCTACAAAATGTAACCAATTTAGAGGTCGTTTGGTTGAGATCAGTCACATCATTTAAGTTCATGTATTATAAAACATAATAAATTAAAGTGATAACACATGATATGGTTGTTGTGTTTTAATAAAGAGGGTCCTGCTGAAGAATATTTTTAGATATACAGTATACAGCTGCAATTTCAATTGGGGTTTACTTGGTATTGATTTCCTTAACAAGTCCCATTTTTGCTGAGTTTTGAGTTCATTTTTTTTTTCTTTCATCAAGAAGACCAAAACTTAAATTTATGTTAATTTCATCATTGTTAGTTTCAAACTATGGCCCTAGACCTTTGGCAGATTCAAGATTTTTGGCAGAAAAAGGATGCCTTATTTTGTGTCCAGTCAATAACTCTTTAATGAAGAAATACTGGAATTTGATACTTGACACAATGATTGCTTATGACCTGAGAGTGTGACATGATCTTTGCTCAAGGTCCCTGGCAGAAGTGTATAATTCATATCCTGTCCATAACTTAGATCAGTGTCTAATTGATCAATGCTTCACAACAAGGTTACTTGTGACCAGAGTATCATGACCTTGAACCAAGGTTTTTTGCAGATCATGGTCACTAGAAGAAGTGTGCAATTCCTCTCTTGGCCATATTTTGTAATTAAGAAACATTGGAAGTTTGGCACAAATATTTGTTATGAGCTGAGGCTGTGTAAGAACCTTGACCCAAGTCATTTTGGCAAGGTCACTGGCAGAAAAATGTGTATAATCTGAGTTTTGTCCATAACTTTGTAAAGAAACTTTGAATGCAGCACTTTGAAAAATAAAATGCAGCAGAGGGTGTAATCTGCCAGCTCACTCATAGTACATGTACATCTACTAGTTTTCACAATCAATGAATTTGATATAGTTATGTTTAAAAATGAAATATAACAACCAGTCTCTTTAAACATATTTTAATAAATCGGATAGATTTGCTATTGAACATTTAACACCTGTTGGAATATTTGAAACATCTGGACAAAATAAAATGCTCTGCATTCCCACTTTCTTTGGACCTAAATAGTCATTTTGATAATCATCACCAACATGAATAGATTCTGAAGCTGCTGTCTTTGCAATGTTCAGAGCTTTCAGGTAAATTTCTGGATCTGGTTTAGCATGACCTACAGTCCAAGCTGACAAAACAAAGTCAAAATAGTGGAGAATTGACATCCTACGAAGCACATTTTCTAGTGTATCGTCAAAGTTTGATATAGCGCCCACTTTGAAATTCCTGTTTTTTAACTCCTGCAATACATGTACAGAGTCTGGAATTAACATCCAGCCTTCAGTTTCAAAATGCGTACATATATCCTGCGATATTTTACTCAGTTTATTGTCTTTTGAGTCCATTCCACTCTGTGTAAGTGTCTTCTGAACAAGAGTGTCCCACCACTGACGAGATGTTAAACCACTTTTACTGCCAAAAATAGGAAACTGTTTATTTTGCTCCTTAAATTTAGTCCGGAATGCTTGGTTGATGACATCTGGATCTAGTTCTATTCCATGGATTTTTGCTATGCTTGAATACTGATGTCCTACACCACCAAGAACTCGCATCACAGTGTTGGTCACGTCTAGTGTTACCAACTTTACTTGTGACATCTCTGGAAAAGAAAGGAATTTCAATTCAAAATACAATACACTGCAATTTGGAATTCAAATTGTTTTCTTTCCTATATAATCAGGCAATTTTTGAATGTCTCTGCTATGATGCAATACCAATTGAAACCTAAGGAAATAGTTTCCTATTCTCTTTAGAGAAGTGGACAGGCTTTCACCTACATCTGGATGTAGGCGAAAGCCTGTCCACTTCTCTAAAGAGAATAATAGTTTCCTTCCTAACATTTAAATTGTTTTGCAATTTTGAATGATTTTTGTAGGTTTCTTTGATAGGTTTCAGTTGGTATTTGCATATAGTAGATACATACATGTATTATCTCTGCATGTGGTTACCAGTGCAGGGCTGTAAGCAACGGTTTCAAAGGGGGGGGGGGGGGGGGCAACTTCCCCAAAAAATCTGACAAGCAAAAAATAAATAGAAAATAACCAGCATCTAAAGGAAAATTTACTATAGCAAAAACTATACTCAGAAAAAAGGGGGGAGCCCCCCCCCCCCTTGCGTTCTACGGGCCTTCAGTGACCTTTATTAAGTGATGCATTAAATTGTCACTAAAGGTCGCATTGATTAATTTTAGGTTACTTAGCAATTTGAATGTATATATAATTGATTATATATGCCAATTCAGGATCCCCTTATGAAAAACAATATTTTATTAATGTCCAAACTGCATTAAAACTGCATTATACCTTTAACAGCCCTGTTTGTCAACAAAAACACACGTGGTTATTGCTCTTGTTTTGGCAAGTTAAGACACGCCCAACAGGAAATAATAAGCACTCAAATCTTTGCATAATTCTATTGGCTAATAAGATAAAAAATTGTCTTGTTAAATTAATATTGTGCATTTTTCAAGTATATATGTCTAGTAACGATAGACAAATTATTTAAATGTTTTTATGACATTTGATATCGCTTGTTTGCATAGTATAGAAATTTTAGTCGGAGAGAGGCTCGCAGTAAAAGACATGGCGCGTATTCAATGACAACAAACGATAGGCTAGGATTTTTTACAGCTAGTTTCCTCATTTTTCACAAAGGTAAGATAATTTTTGGATAACTTGATTATATTTTACAGTGCCCTTAATTAAAAAATGTTATTAATGTCTGTATTTGATGAATAATTTCTATTGCACAACGGCATTTCTTCAAAACGACGTGCTGGGGCAAATTCAATAGCTAAACCATCCCTTTAAATCAGATAAGACACATCGTAAATAATACACAACATACTTTGTGCATTCTTTTGTTATTGTAAAAGAGCACTGACGTTCAAATTCATTTGTTTTATCTTCTTGCTTATCTTGTATCAAATTTATTCATTGATTTCGCACTTGATAAAGCGTACATTGTTTAATTTTAAAGAATGGCAAGACACACTCCATGTAAGGCAGCGATATTGATTATGTAAAGGGTAGAAAATTCTATGATAAAAAAGATAATTCACGACTCTGATAAATGCATATGATGCACATGCTACAACACAACAGTTTCCTCCATTCGTATGTAAGTGCGTGATAGTTTTTTTTTTTTTTTTTTTTTCAATTTTAGGCTTTTGAGCAACAGACTGAGTTTTAGAAGTCTCAAATAAACTGGGTTATTTGCTTTTTGATCTATAGTAACAAATTTAGATCATTGTGGATGCATTGCCAAGCAATCTTTGTAGCCTGTTAATCCAGTTTTATTACATTTTCAACAGTGAAATAATGTAATTTATTTATTGAATAAAAGTGATATTCTTTCACAGTGTGAAAGGATATCAAACCGATATTCTCACAGTGTGAGAGAATATCAGAAGTGCGGCAAAACTCTTGATTTTTCTTCCCTTAAAGAAGATTGTTTAAAAAAAAATCCCTAGCCTGTTATAAGATAGAGAGAGTAAATAAGCCATCCTGACAGAGACTAATACTGCTAAAGTTTCTCCAAAAATGTTGGTAAAAATCCATGTTTACAATTTTTTTCAATCTTGCACTTTCTTTAAGCTATGACATCTCAACTGCTCAACTATGACATCACAGCCTATGACACTGTGTTGCCAAAAGAAAACGGCAAAAGGAAAATCAAAGAAAATGTAATAAACAGAAAATCAATGTTTTGTAGTTGAATACGGAATTTATTTCACTCGTAAGACAGGATTTTTTTTTATATTTTCACTTGTGCTTCACACTTGTGAAAATATAAAAAAAAAATCCTGTCCCATATGAAATAAATTTCATATTCAACAACAAAACATTGATATCCTCTATTTATTATACCTCTGTGAATTTTTTCTATATAAAAATATTACGAATAAACATGCTATATTTTCCAAACAGCCCCTACCGTGGAATAGTTTTTGTGCTATTTGCCCATGGTGAAATAGTCATTAAACTATTCACCGGCAGCATTCTGTTTCCCTCGCTTTACATCTCGGAACTCTTCTGGTTTTATACAGATTGTGACGTAACACAAGTAAAGACTGCTTTGGTATAATAAAACACTTATTTACTGACTATTCGGACAATAGCAAGTTTATCGTTCCCCTCGACAGCAACTATTTCCTTCGGCTGCGCCTCGGGAAATAGTTGCTGTCTTGGGGAACGATAAACTTGCTATTGTCCTCATAGCCAGTAAATAGGTGTATAATGTCTTACATCATATATATAAGAAGAACAGTATTCCATATGATGGTATTAAGAGTAATTGTTTCATTACAACTTTGACATATACATTTAAAGTATGCAACTGAAAAATGAGAAAGGTGTTAAAAAATTGGATGCCAATACTGGATATGTTAATTGATCCAAAAATGATGAAAGCTATTGAGCTTGCTTTAAATTTTATGGGTCAGGTTATTGGAGAAGTTGATTGCTTGTTGAAGTGTTTAATGTAAGATTAGGGGTGACATAGTTCAGAGCACACAATGAATTAGTCGAACCTTTAGAAAATTGCGTGCAATTTTCAGTAGAAGTAAAGTGCTCCAGAAAGTTTTGTTTGGCCGTCATTATCCCAAATACATTTAAAGATAACTCACAAATATCAGGGAGCATGCTGGATCTTTGCCAGTGATTCTCACTAAAGGACTATTGCTGTCCATATATTTTTAAAGAATACCATTCTTTCAGCCGGGGATTATTTTGATCTGCTATTACATATATCAAGAAGTTCATGTCTCATGTTAAGTTTTTTTTTTTATGTGTGCACAGTATGGAATTTTAGAGAACGGTTTATACTGCCATTTGAGTAAGTTTATTGAACATGTTAGGACATTTTTAGATAAAACTAGTTATCTGCTGCATCTGCTGTTTTAAGGAGTTAGCAGTTAACAATTATAAGTATATACCTATATACAAGTTAACTCAGGTAGACAGAAAACCAAGGACTCTATGTTAATATTAATTTCTTTCGGATCCATTCTTTCATCTTATATATCTGTTACAGAAATATAATTTTTTGATGGACATTTTTTTTTTGCAAATGTTTATCATTTCAAATTTTAGCTATTAAAACATTTATACTGCATTTTTTCCATTGTAAAACTTGCCTAGCAAGATTAAAGCTTTAATAAGCACACATATAATGAGATACACGAAAGTGTAGATATTTGAGTAGTGCCTTCTAAGGCAATAGTTTTTAACTACTGTAGAAGTACTTTTTCCCCCATGATATCAATATATACTATGTATGCAATCACAAATTTTCTGGGAAAATTTGTCCCAGCGTACATAAAGTACATTATGTACATTTAAGGCACATAGTGGCAATCTAAGAAATCCACATAATTTTCTACCCACAGAATGAACAGAAATTGTGATTTCGTGAAATTTTGACCCTGTGGAAAAAAATTATGTGTACAGTAATTTTAAAGGATTCATTTGGTAACAAATAGTCATATCAGTTTCTGTGTTTAGTTTTTTTGAAAAATTTCTGTGCAATCCAGAAAAACATGTACTTACTTCTACTGTGATCTATGAAATTTTGTTTCTTAGGGGTATTTTACTAATACCATGGGAATCTTTGGTAAACATGGTAAGGAACTTAAGGTGCAGATATACTTGTCACACAAAGATTCTTACTTGGAGTACACTGTATGTTAATTAATTCCCTTTGAAATAAAATAGAGAAGAAACTCTGTGAATTGCAGTGCCTTATTTTCAAAGTATTTACTAATAGAAACCCATCAATTCATTAATGCATGAAATTTTACCAGTAAATTAAGATAATGTAGCAAGTAAAAGAGAACAAATGAAATATTAACATTACAAGCATTTTCGGTTAAAAGTTATGGCTCAGGCTAACATTGTTATAGATTATGAACTTGATAAAAGCAATATTTAAGAATCATGAAAAATTATTTTGGAAAGTTTGTGTCAAAAAGATTGGAGTAAAATCCAATTTTCCATACCACAACTCACGATGCTATGATTTGCCTGAGGAGAAATGCCAGAGCCTCGGTGGAGATCTGATGCTGAATGTGATATGAAAAAGGGAATATCTAATTATTTTTCGTACATATTTAGTAATCAAAATATATTATAAGAAGATTTATAAAGTCTAAATAATAGTTCAAAAGTTTTGTCATAAATTAACATATTTCAGCAAAACTTTTTTTGAGAAATATTGAATGTAATAATTTAATAAATGAATAATATTGCAAATTCTTATGACTTAATTTGGTGCAGTGCAATCCCAAATTATAGTAGATCACCACCACAGTAAAGCACCACACTACTATGTGATATTTAGGTCATATATATATTTATTAATGTGTAAAGCTCAAAAGCATTTATCTTGTAGATACAATACTAAAAAAAAATTGTCAATTAAGTTGTTTATTAATGGAGACATCTAGAATATATTAGATTTGATAAATGGTAAGCATCTATAATCTTTGATTTACAAAGTCTACATGTGCATGTTAAAAGAATAGAGTGTCAAACATACTGCATAAGATGTAGATAAATCATTTTAAAAAGTTATGTATACGTAAACAGAATTCAATAATCTTT